TCAGAGTCACTTAACTTGGGGATGGTGACTTTCATTCTTTAATGGTGGTTTTTAAGAACAGAGAAGCAGTTGAATGAACAAGGGACAGGTGAGACTGAAGAAAGGATCTGACCAAAGAGATGGTCCACACTGTGCTGATCTTGGTAACATACTCAAAGAAAAAAAAGGACACAATAAAAGAAAGCGAGATGTGTGTCTTGTAAGATGCATGCGTCAGTTGGAAGTTTGAAAGACCAAAAAACAGTCCACATCACCAGGGAATGCATTCATTCATTCATTCTAATCACAATCTTGATGTCTGTCAATTATTGAGTATCTACTTCTAGCCAGGCATTATAGGAACTACTTTAGGTTATTTTTTCCCCCAATTTTCCTAAGAGTACCAGCATGAAGATAAAATCATGCTCATTTTATAGAGGGGGAAATGAAATATCAGAAGTGAAATCCATGAAAAGCAGTGAATCAGGCATTGGAAATGTGGTCTGTTTCCACTATGACATGTCTAGAGTTCCCATATAGTCAGTAAGATGCTGGGCTCAGGAGATAAATTAGCCATGTCACCAAATCTCTAGAGATTTACACTCTAATAGATATTACTGAGGAATGCATTTTTTTGACCTCTGAGATAAAAGAATTCCAGCAGATTTCCATGGACATCTCTAGAAAGGAAGTGTGTTGTCAGGTTTATGGAGAAGGTCCCACAGAGGGAAGAGAAGAAAGAATTCAACCATGCACATCTCCAAGTGGTTGGATAACATGGAGAGAAGACTTAGGTTTCCATCTGGGAGAGTGTAAAAACATTCATCCTTTTTGGATAAGAGAGACTGTATTAAAAAGAAATAGAAATAAGTGTGAAAGAGTAGCAGGACATTCTGAATGGAGATCACATTGTCGCCTATCTGAATGCGAGCCTTATCTCAGCAATACCAGTTTTTTACTCTGGGCTGAAGTGCTGCCTGTGTCTACACTTGTTCAGCATCCTGGAAGGATGCATCTCTTCTAATTTTTTAAATTTGTTTTAATTAGTTACACATGACAGTACAATGACCTGGACATATCATACATTTGGATCAGATGGGATATCATATCTCATTTTTCTGAGTATATACAGGTTGTAGAATCACATTGGTCATGCATTCACATATATACACACAGTAATAATAATGTCTCTTGACATCAACTAATCAGAGATTATCTTCTCATATTTTTAACATTGCCTTTCACATATAATAGGCACTTAACAATAATCAA